AGACAAACCAATAATTTCAAGGCTCCATAAATTACAATTTTTTTTAATTGGTAGAAATCTATATTTTGTGTTTATATGTGGGGTTTTTTTTTTTTTATTAAAGTCATTTCCGTTTTCGAAAACAAGTTTCTACTTTATGAATTGCAAGTCAAACAAATTTATTTTGAATGAATTATAGATCTATCTCTTCTAAAATACAACATTCTAGTACAAATGTTGTGCGATACATTCAGAAAAAAAGTTTTTTTCAGGTTTTTGGGGGTTTTTTTATCCCCCTGTATTATGCTTAGTGACCAAGTTGTCGTTGTAAAGCACTCAGAGTTTATACTCGTATGGGATAGAGTGCAATATAAATGCAATCTATTATTATTATTATTATTATTATTATTATTATTATTATTATTATTATTATAAATAATATAAAAGTTTGATATTGATAAAAAGCTGCATCGTTTTGGTATCTAAGTAAGATGAGAACCTTGGAATGTTTGGTTTTTAAATAAAGGTCTATCAATTTTTGCTACTCAGTCAAACCAATTGATTAAGAGTGCAAATCTGAAAAAAGTCTTAGTAAAATTCATTAGATCTTGTAGCCAATGTACAGTTACTTTAGAAACCATCGAAGTCCTTTCGAAATTTTCCAATGGAATTCTCTACCTGCAGGGCTGTCTCTTTCAAGAACAAATGTATCGCAACAAGGTGAGATCCGGCGCTCATCAGTTTCTTTGGTCGGGTTTTTTTTTGTTTGTTGCTTTTTTTTGTTTTGTTTCGTTTTTTTGTTTGGGTTTTGGTTTATTTTGGTGTTTTGTTGTTGTTGTTTTTTTTTTGGGGGGGGGGCATATGGAGTTATTGATATAATCTTAAAAGATGTACATTTGTCTTTCTTTTGATGAAAAACTACCCATCTGCCTTAAATAGTAGTCGAGATATTTCAGATTAAAGAAAATGGAGTTTGCCTGGTGTCAGAGGTAAAATCACCAAGAAAATGTGCGTCATAGTTTGATGACTTTCAAAGCTTGAGTATCCTTGGATATTGCAAATCTATAATTTTGCACCTTTGATCAACAATTTCCAATAAAATTCACTCAGAAAAGTGGTTCAAATGGAAATAGAAGGTGCTTGGCCAAAAAATAATATATTTTGTTGAAAATTGTCCAAAGAGCGAAAATGTCTAGTTTTTTTCGATTTTATTTTTTGGGCGAGTCTGTTTTCTCCACATTGCTACATAATAACTCCAAGTTATTTGCGTTGATGCTGCTCACTTAGTAGTCCCAAAGGGACTAATTAGCATCACAGCCATTAGAACATCTCCGCTGACTTGACACAAATTACAAGGAAATCACATAAAGTTCAACTTTTGGTATAAATATTTGTACATTCTGAGAATTGCTGACCTCGTACATCCAATCAAGACAGCTGCAACCATCAACCAAATTAAGAACACCCAAGTTGAAATCGAATTCATTATGTGGGAGATCTGTTCCACTTGTTGGCCCTCAACCTCTTCACTGCGTCATAACTGAACTTGGTATAACAAGTGTGAATTGAAGAGAGGTGGCGGGATCTAATAGTTTTAATCTTTTCTCTTAATAGATATAATATAATGGTACCCTATAAAAACAATATTGGCTATGCAGTTCATTTGGGAGGAATTCTCATATCGGCTAGATGTTATCAGTGCTTGAGTACGTGAAATACATGAATAAACTTGATGGTACGGTATATACAACACATGTGTCCAAGATAGAGTTGTTGTTTTTTTCTTAATTTATTTTGTTTTGTTTTGTTGTTGTTGTTTTGTTTTGTTTTTTGGGAGGGTATTTTTATTTGTTGTTTGGTTTGGGGTTGTTTTGTGTGTGGGTTTGTTTTTTTGGTTTTTTTTTTTGGGGGGGGGTTGCTTTTCTTTATTTGAAATATTGCGTGATGGTTTTGGCATATTCTTTTTAAATTATCCTGTATATCTTTATTAAGTCGTGGCCTACAACGTACCTATGAGTATGAGTCTCAAGCCTCTCTAGACCCTGTGGCAGTATTTAATTCACACCTGAGACAATCTCAACAGTACTCTTTTACTTTTTCCTTCCTCTGGTACACCTAGGATGTCGAGGGGAGGTGCAGGTTTCGGTCATGTGCTAAGCGTGCGGCGTTTGTAATAGATACGTTATGTTGTTCCAAGACCTTTTTAACCAGCCAGGTCCTCCTTGGTCTTCCTCTGGTTCTGAAGCCAGATTCATGGATCTGGTAGGCTCTTGTCGCTTGCTGTTTCTGGGACATTTTGGTTTGATGTCCGAACCATTTGATTCTTTGACGCTCAATGAAATGTATTACTGGTGCCACTGTCGGGTCGCCATTGTTCAATTGGCGCAAGTGCTC